AAAAAAAAAATCAATGGGAAAAAATATCCTCAGGTGAGGATTAACAACAACAAAAAAGAAGCTCCCAGGTCACATCTCCCATGTGGCTCACTGGTAGGTGGGCGAGTAGTCAGAGTCTCTCTAGAAGCACTCATCTAGCCCAAGAGAAAAGGCCTGAAGATTCTAAGATGCAGGGGAACCCCAACAAAAAGGTCAGATTCACTGCCACATTGCCCTAAGATGAGGACCACCAGAGGACATCCTTCCATGGCTCCAAGGGCTTGGCTCATCTCATTCTTAAATAGCCAACAGTCAGGTGCTTTGAAGAAAGCCCAAAATAGGTCTCATGAAAGACTGAGTCCCAAAAAGAAATGGGGCAGGGGGGGAGCTCAGAGCAGGTATGATGCACAGAGAAGAAAACTTAAGAAATAAGAAATGGTATCTGTGAAACAAAAAGAGGAACAAGATGAAGACTTCCTAGTTTTTGAACAATAAAAATATGACGGGAGAATTTTGAAATCTTAAAAATAGAATTGGACGAGAGAAAGGGGAAATCTCACAGAAAGGAGAACCAGACAAAGAGAAAGACCTTAGGGGAAAAAATAAGAGCAGAGGAGCAGTCCAGGAGGTCCATCTTCCAAACACCGGGAGGTCTGCAGAGGCAGCTGCCAAACATCTTTGCAGCACAGCCTGGCTTCCATTCTGCTGCCTGGCCCATGTGCCTTTCAGCCTGTCCGTTCTGTTTTTATCCAGTAGCCCCCCAATATATTATGTTTCTGCTTAAACAGATCCTCAGTTGGTATCTGTTTTCTTTTTTTGATGTTTTCTTTTTAAAATTAAATTTATTGAGGGCAACGCTGGTTAACAATTATGTAAGTGTCAGGTGTGCAACTCTATAACACATCATCTGTATATTGCACTGTGTGCTCACCACCCAAAGCCTAGTCTCCTCTGTCACCAAATATTTGACCCCCTTTACCCTCTTCATCTACCCCCCCCCTTTCCCATCTGGTACCCACCATACTATTGTCTGTGTCTATGAGTTAGTTTTGTTTGTTCATTTGTTGCTTTTGGTTTTATATCCTGCATCTGAGTGAAATCATATGGTCCTTCTCCTTTTCTGACTGATTTCACTTAGCACAATACTCTCACATTCCATCCACGTTGTCACAAATGGCATTATTTCATCTTCTTATGGCTGAGTAGTACTCCTTTGCATATATGTACCACATCTTCTTTATCCAATCATCTGTCAAGGGACATTTGGCTTGTTTCTATGTCTTGGCTATTATGAATGACAAGGGTACATATATTTTTACAAATAAGTGTTTTCAAGTTTTTCCAGTAGATACCCAGAAGGATTGCCAGGTCACAGGATAGTTCCACTCTTAATATTGTGAGAATAGAATATTACCCTCCACACTGCTTTCCATAGCGGCTGCATCCCCACCAGCAGTGCCCAAGGGCTCCCTCTGCTCCACACCTCTCCAGCACTTGTTATTGTGTGTCTTATTGATAAGAGCCATTCTAACAGGGTGAGGGGGTAGCTCACTGTGGTTCTGATTTGCATTTCCAAATCGCTGGCAGCTAGTGACATTTTCATCTATCTGTTGGTCATCCCCACATCTTCTTGGGAAAACTGTACCAGTCCTCTGCCCTTTTATTAACTGGAAACAATCCAATTAAAGTACGGTGTCTGTCTTCTGAAGCCAAGAAGCCTGACTTGGATACCAGGAGGCTGGTGTGGCAGAGGGTGAAGGGATAGGGGCCTGGGGGGATTAAGAGGCATGGAAGGCATGCTTCCCTAGTCTCCCTCATAAACAGATTCTGGTGTTCCCCCCAGTTCCCGGAAAGACTGGCTCCATATTTCCTGCCTCGGGTTTGCTGTACCTCCACCTGGGCGGGCTCTGCTGTCAGCCTCCCCCACCCACTGCCTCCACTGCAAGTCTCCTTAGGACTTGGTTCACCCTCGGCACGTACCTGGACAACCTCCAGCCCCGCCCTCAGCACCACCCTCATATATTTCCGGCTCTGAATTGCTTCTGAACTTGTTAATAACATATGTGGCTATAAATGCCAAGCTGCTTAAACTAATGGTGGTGACTTTTTAAATATGGTATTTATATGTAGTAATCTTATTATAATATCTAGGCGATAGTCAACAACTTTAAATGTACTCAGGAGTCAAGACACATCTTAGATTTACTTTTAACTGTATCTTCAGTTAAGTTTCTTAATCTCTTCCCCTCACTTTTTTCCTGGGCTATAAACAAAATGTTTATTTCTCATAAATAAACTGAAAACAAGTAAGTAAACAAAAGACATCAGTATTCTTTGGTGGTCACTTACTACAAAAAAGAATTAAGTTACAATTAGTTCACTAAGGCAATGAAAAGAAAGTCTACCCTAGAGTTTGGCAAATTCATCATTGTTTTATTATTTATACACCCACTGGTGACCTATACAAAACACAGAAATAAGCAAATCTCTGCTTCAGACACACAAGCCCACCCCCCATGCGCAACCACAGACAGGAGCTTCTGCCCACAGAAGCTCACACACCAGCAGAGGTGGGAGTCAGCCTTGTAAATAATGTGCTAAGTGTAATCCCCAAATTAGGAGCAAAGTGTGATGAGGGAGAGAGATGACAAAGACCAATTCTGTCTGGAGGAACCAGAGAAAGTGTCAGTAAAGAAGACAGCACGGTGGGCCCGGGTGGACAAGCAAGATAAAAACAGAAGAGAATAGTGTGAAAAGGTGCAGGGGGCAGAGGAGGGTTGGGGAGAGGGAAGGGAAATGTGACCCAAGGATAGACTGGGGTCCAAAACCAAAGCACTCTGGATGCCAAGCTAAAGAGTCTGGGTTCTGTACTTCATTTTGCTGGGATGGGAGGCACCAGAATTTAGGTAAACAGACAGATGGTTTAAAAAGATAACTGATGACAAAGTGAGACTAGGATGGAAGGAGAGAGAGGCAACCAGGAGGCTGCTGCTGTGATCTAGAGCGGTTGACGGAGGCCAGGGCCAAGAGGGGAGCAGAGGCCTGAAGGGGGCTGTCTGAGAGACAGTCACAGCAAGGAAAAGCATAGCAACCAACACGGAATGGATGGGGCACAATACAGGAAAACCAAAGGGGCTCAGAGGCATTACTGCCCTGGCTGACACTCTCATGGAACTTGGGCGCTGCAGACTCAGGGAGGGTGCTACGACTGGGACACAGTGAATTTGAGTTATCTGCAGAATAAACTAGCAGAGCTGACCAGCAGCCATTAATATCTGATCTCCTCCAGCCCCAACCTAGAGATATGGAATGTTCTGAGTGCAGAGGGAACAGGTGAAGTGGAAGTAGAGGCACTCACCCAAGAGGCCACAGAAGTGTGAGGCTGAATCCCTGGGAGACACAGGCATGAAAGAGGAGGAAGAGGTAAAAAGAGCCAGGAATGGAGGCCAGGAAGAGAGATAAGGGCAGGAAGGAAGGTGGGAGCAGTCAACACACCAAAGGGGATGCCAGGAAAGGCCAAGCAGATTCAGTTTCAGAAGTGCCAAGAGTTGCCCTGGCCCCTGTGGCTCGGTTGGGTGGGACGTCATCCAGCACGCCAAAAAGGCTCCGGTTCAATTCCAGGTCAGGGCGCAGACAGTGCTGATAACGCCCAGTATCTAATAAAGTGATGAGAATGGCTAGCCCTTTTTTCCATAAGTGTGGCCCAGCTTACTCGGGGTTGAAGATTAACAAAGATGATGACAGAAAACCAGGGCATCAAAGGCAAGACTTGGGCTGGAAAACCAGAGTGCAGGATGAAGGGTGAGGCCTGATAAAGTAGGAGACAGAAAACCTCAAGGAACCGGAAGTCCTGGTGAGACAGAACCAGGTTTGGAGAAAGTGCCAAAGTAGCCAGGGCAAACTGAGGCTGGGTCAGCAGGGGGACTTTTAAGAAATCGTAGGAGGTGCCATTCTGGATAATGGTAGTATCTCAAATGTGGCCGTGAAAATAGGCTGATACACAGAAGGGGAGTGAAGGGGGAATGTCAAGCACTTACGTCCCAAGTATGTCAGCAACCTGAATGATAAGTGACCCAGGATGGAGCCTGAGTTAGGGTGGGTTATACTAGAGAGAGCCAGAATCCTCACTGAATTTGGTAAAAGTATTGAGTATTCAGATAATTTCCCAGTGTATTTACTGCATTTACGTTCTTAAATGTTCTTTCCATCAATTTACAATCATGAAAGATTTAGTTTGTGCTTCCAAACCCTACCAATAATGTATGCCATGTGAAACCGCTATTTTCTTCTCAAATTACTGAATCTAAAGAACAGAAAATATTAACTTTTAAGGAAAAAAACCAACACAACAGTAAGCTAACTAAAGCCAAGCCTTACTGTGAACAGTAAAAGTATTTAACCTTTCTAGAAAGGTCTTTGACACTAAAATACTTAATAACTCCAAAATGGCACTTAGACACTGCATATCAAAAAGATGGCAAGCTGGGAAACACCAACAAAAAGCCATGCGACTAGGAGAGGAAAGTCAGTCTCATAAATGGGGGTGGGGTGGGGATGGGGGGTGTGGAGACAACACTGAGTTTTT